AATTAAGAAAATATATACAAAATAATTTAAAAAATGAAGAAAAAAATTCGACTTAACTTACCTTAGTCAAAAAATGCTTCATTTCAAAATTACGGGGTGCTAAATGCTCACTTTTAAAATGGTTTTCGATTATCTTTGCACTGACAAAATCCGAATTGGATTGGACGGAATTTGATATACGTTATAAGGATCTGACAACCAATACAAAAAAAAATAAGGAAGTACAAAGGGCCCTCCCTAAAATTCCATCAGACTCCAGAATCCCCGCATTCTTGTATGTGGATTTTTCTAGTGTTATATTCAAACATTTTAATTTTAGGACAACTTTACAGTTAAATAGGCTCTTGTATCAATTATTCCATTATAAATGATTGGGCAGAATGAAATATTAATTTTCGTTAGTTTGTTTCATGATATAATGACACAAATTCAAATAAAGTCGCCTTGCTTTCACGATAAATGGAGGTTTAAGACAATTGTCAAAGCGATTGGGAGAAATGTCGGTTTAGTTGTGAATATGGAGCGTTGATCAAATATCCAACGTTCTTTTGCAGTTAAAATTTATTTTAAAAATAACAATTCAATTGTAACCACCCACCTTCTATTTCGTCACTTTGATTTAAATCCACGAGATCCAATTGGAGCAATTTTTATTAAAACACACTATCCAAGACACTTCTGACCGAAATTAAAAAAATATTTTTTAACCTTCAGATTTACAATACAACCGCAATACTCAATTTCAAATTTCATTATTTCTCACCTTCAAAGTGCTTCCACAAGAAATTAATGTAATGCGCGTAAACTCAATCAAGTAAATCTCCATTAAATTTTTGATAAGTCATGTACATGCTTCTAAATTCCTGTACCTCTTTGGTACAACTTAATACATCCTTTCAGATCTAAAATCCTAAAGAAATTCTTGTACATCCTTAAAAAAATCATAGTATATCTTCATAAGTGTACAACATAAATCCCATATATGTCCCCCTCGTCTTAAACGAAGCATCTTAGTTGTTGAAGTAAGTTGACTTAATTTGCATTATTTTCTCAGGAATCTGTGGTAGCTGTATGATCATTGTTTTCTGGGACACCCGACATCCTATATAATAAACTTAAGGAGATTGACAATTTAATTTCAAAGCATTTCTTCTAGAAGAATATAATAACTGGGACTGTTGTCGTAAGTACGATACCAGAGACAAACCATTTAATATTCCAGTACCCAATATTACATAAAATCATAGCACACAGATCTCATATATTTTTGGACCCTAGTCTGCTTAATGAATATAACTATTATAAAAAAATAATTCTAGATGTTTATTTTCGTGGAAACTAAATTGGTATCTAATCTAATATACAGCGTGGTAAAAAAGTTCTGCATAAAATTCATATTTTCGTTAAACAATTTATTTTTCGAAAAACGGTGAGACCCGTCGATTTTTATTTGATCAAGGGCACCTTGTTATGTGGAAAATTTTTTTTTTCGATAATCCACTTACGGCAGCGATGACATCATTTTTTTTTAATGACAACGCATATTTTTTTCGTTCGAAATTGATGACAGTGATAATTATCTAAACAACGGCAACGGTGTGAAAATTTCGATGTCTTACATAACAATTTTTTTTAGAAAAATGCACCTTAAGTTCTTATAAGTGATAATTGTCTACTTACACTATTAATGGCTCCGAAAAGGACAAAGTTGACAAAATTACATTTCAAACGAGTAAAATTACACTAATGTTTGTGTAAGTCTAGCGAAATTGTTCGAATTGCCCACCCTGTACCATTTGGCATTGTCCTAAGCGTGTGTAAACGCCGTCTACACTTCGTTCAAGCATTCCCGGGTCGATTTGATTTATTTCAAAACGAATACGGTTTTTAAGTTCTTCCAAATCACCTGGTCTGTTTGTGTACACACGCGATTTCAAATAGCCCCACAAAAAAAAGTCTAGAGGTGTTAAATCAGGCGAACGCGGAGGCCACTCGATTGTTCCGCGTCGCCCGATCCACCGGCCAGTAAACGTGTTATTCAAGTACTCCCGTACTTGCACTCCATAATGGGGCGGTGCACCATCCTGCTGAAACCAAATTCTTTCCTCAGGAATATCAGGATCCTCGTTGTTCGGGAATAACTCTGCTAAGCTTGGGACCAAATCGAACCGCAGGAAATCCAAATAGCGAGCAGCAGTTAAATTTTCCTCGAAAAAATACGGGCCTAAAATACGACGCCCTATTATTCCCGCCCAAACGTTCACCTTTCGGGGGTGCTGATGATCTACTTCTTGCACCCAGTGCGGGTTTTCCTGAGACCAATACCGGCAGTTATGTCGATGCACCGATCCATTAAGATAAAAAGTAGCCTCGTCAGAAAAAATTATGTTCTTGAGGAAGTCGGGGTCTCCGTTACATCGATGCATTAAATCTTCACAAAAGTGGAGACGGCGGTCTGGGTCGTCCTCAGTCAATGCATGTATCAAGTGACCCTTATAGGGGTGAAATTTCTCTTTTTTGAGAAAGTTCACCACAGTTACATGTGAAATATCATTGTTCAATGCAATCGACCTTGTACTAGAATGAGGGTTGTCCTGGAGCTCCACCAGGATATTCAATCTAGTTTCATCATCTACTCTAGGACGACCCGCACGAGGAGCATCTTTCACACTACCAGTTTCCTCAAACCTTGCCAGTACCCTACTAACCGTAGATTGCGTAATTGGTGGTCTGTCAGGGTACGTTGCATTAAATAATTGGCAAGCTTCTTGATGGGTTCGTAACTTATCGCCGAAACCAATCATCCTCAAAATATCAATTCTTTCGCGTTCACTAAGTTTTGCCATTTCGAATTAAACGATTTCACCAAAGAATGTTAAATCGGTACTGATTTTTAGTCTTCAATATTTCAGGTAATCTACTCCTTTCAAGTAAACATTTCTTTGGATCTTTTTTTTTTGGGGAATTTATCGGCAAACTCGAAGACAAAAAGTCGACCTTAATTTGCTACATACTATTTGGATTTTGTGCGGTTGAACTTGGTTCTAAATTTTGCAGTTTAATCAGGATCCTGACAATATCTGATGAATAATTCCGCAAATATTACATAACACCAGTTGCAACTTAAGTTATCTGAAATGCTTTCTGCCGAATAAATTTTTTTCTAAGGCATTTGATCCGTAAACAGCAAATTATTGCATTCAAGAACTTAAGGTGCATTTTTCTAAAAAAAATTGTTATGTAAGACATCGAAATTTTCACACCGTTGTTTAGATAATTATCACTGTCATCAATTTCGAACGAAAAAAATATGCGTTGTCATTTAAACAAAAATTATGTCATCGCTACCGTAAGTGGATTATCGAACAAAAAATTTTGCCACATAACAAGGTGCCCTGGATCAAATAAAAATCGATGGGTCTCACCGTTTTTCGAAAAAAAAAATTGTTTAACGAAAATATGAATTTTATGCAGAACTTTTTTACCACGCTGTATACAGGCATATTTTATGACATTTATACTTACTGATAGGTATAGGCGAGTACATAATCACCTCAAAAAAAAAAATCCTGAACAAAAATGTTTGTGATATACATGATGATTTTTTAATTTTCACTAAAATTTGTTTTAGCCATAACTTTCGAAACATCTAAGAAAATTAATTTTTCAAATACATCACTGAAGGCCAACAGAATCGTATTGGAAAATATACTATTCTTTTTGGACCCTACGAAAAATTCTACTATTCCATGCAGCATACTGAAAGTACATAACAGTAGTCATGGTAGATGAAATAAGACGTCCTAATTCAAAAGCTTTCGGTGATCACTAAACTCTATTAGAAGTATGGACCGTAATTCCAGGTTCAAAAAATTCAACCAAATAAATTCTTTGCGCTCATGCAAAATCTGTAAATGTAGAGAATGCGTAAACTGTACGCAATATTAACCTGTGTGAAAAGCGAAATCGTAGCCCGGAATCAACATCAGTGATGCTAACACATAAATGCGAGAACAAAATATCCCTGGCCCATTATTAAAAGCAAAAGAGCAAAATTGATAGCACAGTTTTGAATTTCAAATATATTTTTATAAAATTTCTCTGTTGACAGTTTATTTAATTTCAAAAAAACAAAAACAATTTTTAGTTTTGCATGTACCTAATTTCTGCAATTTTGCTAACATAAACAATGAATAATGAAGCTAACAAAACACCAGCTATTAGGACCTATATTCTAAGTTATGAGTCCTACAATTCTAAGTCACCTATTAAAATCATTGTTCTATATTGAAGACATGAATAAATAAGGATGAATTGAGAAATTATATATATATATATAATATTGTCATTTAGCTGCCTTACACTGTAGTATAACAACCCCGGGTTGGATCGAAAAAAATAAACGTAGTTGTGGCCAAAAATATGTGATCGTCATAAGGAATACCTACGTTGTATACATCTATTTCTAATTGACCGGAAGGCGCTGGCTACTAACTTTAAAGAGGGGAAGTATGGTTTAATTTTATAAAACAAAAGCAGAGTAAATACTCCTAACTTTATTATTTACATACAGCTGTCTTCAAATTAAACATGTGACAATTAGAAAGAACAGCAAAAACATTAACAACCATTTAACATAAAAGGAGAGTGCCAGGCTCACCTAGAGCTCGTGTGGGAAAAGAGCATGGCAGAGAAACCCACGATCGTTGCTCTAACTACCCAAACATAAATACAAAACAACCGCTAACAAAAGGCATAAATTAATATCCTTTACTAATGATAAATAAGACCTGAATTATTTAATGTGTCACTAAATGTCACCTCACTCGAATTAGACATACACATTTCCAAGTAAAACTGAAGAGGTTTGGTGTTAGTTAGCCGGCAGGGCCGGAAGGTACTGGAGTCCGATACGGGAGATAATCCAGCTATGAGTTGAGATTTTGGAAGATCTGTTTTAGCAGTTCTTTTTTTGTATTTAATTATTCTTTTTTTTTCAGATTCGTGCCTCAAGGGCGAAAATGTTAATAAATTCAACAAGGCTCTTATATGCGTATGACATAAAGTGAGCACAAGAAACGCTTTACTATTTGTTTTTGGAACAATGTAATCATGATAAAACAAGTTAAATATGAAACAAAGGAGTTGTTATTGCAATATCTGGGCAGTCACGACAATATATATATTTTAACATGTAATAAATAATGAGCAATCGCTAATAATAATTGTAACAATTTTACCTTAGAAAAATATATGCCCTTGAGCATAAAGCAATGGAAGCTAAACATACAAAGAATTATTATCATTGAACATCTGTAACCATCATAATCATAAGATTACATAGAACAATTAACAACAAAGTACTTAAAGAATATTACCTGCTAATTAATACCGGTTAAACACTTTTAATTTTTCACTATTTTGCCTCACTGCCCGCCGATCGTCTTGCTCCCATCTCCACACTGTTCACACTTCAACTATTTTAGGCTTCCTTCCAGAATTCCCCACCTAGCGCTTGTTTTTGTGCTTCCTTCTACCAACTGTCAATATTACGTTTTCATTATTATTATTCAACACCCATGTAACAGGTGACGTCGAAGTTGATACGATAAGTATGGTTTTGCACAACACTATCATGCCATCATGAAATAATTAGTGCATCCAGTGCATAATAGTATCCCTGAATACTTCCTATAATAAAAAAATCTTGCCTTACTCCCTAACAAGCGAAAATATAGAACTAGGGATAAATACGAGTATATTCGCTGGATTAGCATCATTAAATCAATATCAAGAATCAACGTCACCAAACAATTCAACATGTGCAAAATGTGGTTATCCCAGGAAAATCAATTTGATAGTTCTGGCTTAAAGAATATAACATTTCTACCACACACATACAATTTCAGCTAAGTGTGATTTATAATTTTCATAGCCAGGTCATGTTTAGACCGTTTCTCAAAAAAATGAAATGCCAAAATTACATAACTAGGATAGTGCAAATATTTTTTAATTTGTGTACTTTCTACCCCAATCAATGGTAACTTCCAGCAAAATTGTAACTATTCTTAAAAAATGTTAAGAATATTTTATGTAATAGGGGTTTAGTTTTAGCACGCCACTGGGGTTATATGTGGAGCTGAAATATTATGTTAACAGAGGGTCAGTTACATACAAAAATATTTTCTTTAATCTTTATAACAAAGTATACTTGGCCTTATGGCCAATTATCATAATTTCATATCAAAATTATCTGATAACATTCGTGTTCCTTAATTTAAACATACACTGTATAACTTTTCATACAGAACTTCACTTTGGAAATGATCCTATTATCAAAGTTGTACTATATAGGCTACTTTTTTTATAAAGTGGTAGATATGTATCTCAAATCAATATATAAGTACTTTGTATCTTAGTTTTTTTAAATTGTTTAATAAAATTTAAAACTATTTGTATTCAACTGAAATACAAGCAATGTTTTTGAAACACTGTTTTATAAATTTAATCCAACTTGTTTAGAATTATACTAGAAGCTCCATCTATCTTATAATAGCTGTAACACTTTCAGAATAATTGTCATTTACTATATAATATTTTTTTAATTCAAAATTTTAATCATGTTTGTCTTGATTGTAATATAACAATAAAGAAATGTAAAAAGTTAAACACAAGATTTCAGAAAGACCTACCATAAATTCCAAGGGTGGTGTTAATTAGAGATTTAATTTGAGAAATATCGGTGAAGTAATTATAGCTAACATGAACACATTTTTTAAGACACTGCCGGCAGAAAACATTAGTTTAAGCTAAGCGTCAGTTCTTAAACATCGTTAAAATAATACCAGAAATTTCTGCCAGCGATGATCACCAGCAGAATTCTTTAAAATCGTTGTTTAACCTACTGCTCTTCATATGAATTAAAGCACCTAACTAGCATTCTTTATAACTTGCTAAAGAACTAATTAAGTAAACGTCGCTTGTCTTATGATTTATCAATTATTAAAAATAAACATTACAGAAAATCATCCACAGTAATTATATAATACAATTTTTGAAAGAGGTGTTTTAATATTAACATCTGCCTATTACTGTAAGTAATTATATATATACAGGGTGTTCCTAGGTTAAATTAAATAAAGTTCAATAGAACTAGAGGCCAATCCCGACTCCATACGAAGATATAACAGTTTGAAGATGAACCCTTCACATTTTTTTTTATTTCTTTTAAAAATTACGTATACATTTTTGGCTATTGGAGAATTATATTTATATATAAGGTCACAAAAAATATTTCCAAGAGACAATAAAGTCTCTGAAAAAGTAGATTTCACGCTTTCTGTGTAAGAAAAGCTTCACTAGTATCACAAAAACCGGATAGTCGATTCTCAGAATAGCTCTAGATGTAGGTAGTTATAAATATTGGCCCCATCAACAAATAATGACTGACAGTGAAAGTTATTGGCCGAGAAACATGTTTTAGTGGTCAGTTAAGCTATTAATTTTGTTTCGAGTGTTTTGTCACTCAAAACCATAAATTTACAAAACTTCGCTATCAACCGATTATTAAAACAGTTTGTCTACGTCATCAATCCGCTATAAAAGCTGAGCTCCGAGATTATATAGTGTACAGTTTTTGAGTATTTAATCTATGGCGTACAGCTTTGTAAGAAGAATCTAAATCAAATGAAGAGGCGTTAAATGTAAAGTAACGTTTCTTCGTTTGAATTACATTCTTCTAACAAAGCTTTAGTTCTCTCATATTTCCTAAAAAGAAAAAGGTTTGGCGATCGGGTTTAAATGTAAATACTTATATAACTTTTATTAAGTACAGTATTTTTTCGTGAAACAGATTATTTTAACATCAGCTCTCACTTAACTTAAAGTTATCGAAAACACTGCAGTTATGCATTTAATAATATTTTTTTTAAACAAGTCGAATTTGTAAAGTATATTTCCCGGCAGTTTTCATAATTAAATATTGAACCACAGATAAAATAATTATAGAACTATACAGGCTGTTACAAATTCGCTTCTCACTACAGTAATCTCGGAAACGGTAAGAGCTACGAGGTAGCTTAAATGGGGGTAAAGTTGTGTAATCAGGCGACCAACATTATGTCTCTAAAAAATCAAGGCTAACATGATTAGTTTTCGAAGTATTAGAAAAAAACCGAAATTTTGGAAATCCGTTCTTGTTTCATTTAAACCTTTTTTGGAAATCCGTTCTTGTTTCATTTAAACCTTCTTTGAGGTAATATTGAAAAAAGAAGAACACACATGTAACGTTTTGTCTCTCCAGGACAATCACAACTTCATTTTTTTAAATACGACCCTGGAAATTTTATTACATTTTTTGCAATCCTTCCTGACCCCCAGTACTATACTGCCTCAGCTCGAGATTTAGACGTTTTGTCTGTAAAGATTCATCTGCAATGTATTGGTTCCAAATTTATCTAATTTTTTTTAAAGATTTCTATGTTTCTTGAATTATCGTACACTCCAAGTGTCGTTAGACTTTGTGAATTCCACCTAATTATTTAAACTATTACCACCTCACGTTACAATAAAATATTATTAGATTTTTAATCCCGTGCTCATAATAATTTCTAAGTTTCTCAAGTGGTCAAAATTCAAACAAATTTCGATCTAATTTATTTAAGGATATTCATACAAATACATCTGGCATGCTCTTTCACAGCTACTGTTACAGGTATAATAAATTCCAATCTTATGCTTATTTTCATTTTCAACATTTGCCAAAACGGAAGCGTTTTTGAACATTTACTGTAATTTTTTAAAGTATAATATTTATTTGGATTTTTAGTTGTTCATATGAATTTTTAAGAATTAATTTGTCATAATGAAATTAAAATTGTAGTAATGTTTTAATTTTGACGCAACAACTTATCGAATTATGTATGACTAGGTGATGGACATCAAAATTCTAATGTTTTATTGTAACGTGTGATGCTAATAGTTAAATAACTAGATGGATTTCACAGGGTATAACGACACTTACAGTATACGATAATTCAATAAACATAGAAATCTAAATAAAAAATTTAGAGAAATTTGAAACGAATACACTGAAGATGAATTTATCGAGACAAAACGTCTAAATCTGGTTCGGGCCAAGGCAGTACAGTATTGAAGATCATGAAGGTTTGTTAAAAATGTAATAAAACTTCCAGGTCCGCATTTAAAAAATAAAGTTGATGATGGTCCTGGAAAGACGAAACGTTACATATAAAAATTGATCATGCCATTCGATAGAGGAGAAAATGTTGCCATGAGAAAGTGTTCTTCTTTTTTCAATATCACTTCAAACAAGGCTATTATAAAACAAAAACGAATTCCCAAAATTTCGATTTTTTTTTTTTTTTCAAATATTTCGAAAACTAATCATGTTAGCCTTGATTTTTTAGAGGCATAATGTTGGTCCTCTGATTACGCAACTTTACTCCCATTTAGGCTACTTCGTGTCTCTTACCGTTTCCGAGATCCCTGTAGTGAGAAGCGAATTTGTAACAGCCTGTATAGACTAATTATAAGTGGCTTACACAGAATATGGCAATTTACAGTACTATTATCCTTGCTTTTGAAAGTAAAACTCATAAAGGAATGATTTGTCATGGGGAATAACCCCCAAAATTCCCCTCTACTACGCCAATGTCAAACATCAGACATCTGAGAGCGTAACTGGTTGCATATAGAAAAGTGTTAATAAAAAGTGTAGTAAGTAACCTTATTTCTATATTTAATACATAAACAAGGGAAGTAGGTAGTGATTATTATTAATTATTTATTAGGTACTGTTCAATAATATTTTAAAAATCTGGTAGCATCTGTTTTTTCCAAAAGTAAAAAAGCAGTACGTTAGTTTTAAACCAATTTGGTTAGATTCTTGATTTCTCTCTAAGTTTTGTATAAATAAACTAGTACATATTTCATAAAAGTTTTCCTTTACAGTATTTTTCGATATCTTTCCATGTGAACTTTTGAAATATAATTTATTATTTTATTTAATTTCGCTTTTGATGTTATTTGAATCATTTTTCGTAACGATGCAAAAACGAGAGTTCGTCTTGATGAAAACTGTTTTCCTACAAAACATCCTGATACAGATATTACAGATGTCATTCCTGGATTTTATGTTATGACTGAACACAATTATACATAGAGACGACATTCACCAGAGCACAAAATAAAAAATGAGGAAATTATAATGCATTTTCCTGAAATAATAAATCTTCCAATTACAATTTTTGAAGAAAATGTAACTAACGTATCTGTTATTTACGCCATTAGTTTGAGAGGAGACTTCATTTTTTCACCTTGAATGCCTTTTTTATTTATGCGCTATGCACATAAAATTTTGTTTTAATATCTTCATAAAGGTATTCAGCGAATGTTTAAACATGTTTTTTTATAATAACGTCCTTTATCTCAAAAACGCTCTCTCACTTTTAACACATTGGTGTGTAGATGAACTGTAATTTTCATTACATTCCGCAATAAGTACATATAACCACTGTAATTTTGATGTTTCCTACATACCCTTAGAGACATCTAGTGTCAGGTAGATACTTTAAAATGGCAGCGCGTAAATCGTAACTGACATTTCCCACCGAGTCATGTCATCACACGATTTACCTTCAGATCAGTTAAGTTCTGTTGGTGTAGTTGAGTGTATCAACGGTTTTCCCAGTGCCTTTTTCCAGTGATTATTTTTAAAATATGGCCGATCAAGTAGCTGAAAATGGACATGCAGAGAACGGTGATGTTCCCGAAATCGAGCTAATCATTCGAGTAAGTTTTTTTGTAGATTTAGTACTGGGCGTGCCTGATTTTTGCCACCTACATCATGAAAGAAAGTACGTTGAAGTGTCAAATATTTTGCTAAATAAGTGATAACGCATTAAGCATGAATATCATGATATGAAGTAACAAAAATGTGTTTCTACCTAGAGATAACTCGCTTTTATTCAACATATTTTTTATAGATGATATATATCATATGCATATGACCTTGAGTTACATAGGTGCGATATTAAAAAATAGGTATATTTTATATTTTATGCTAAATAAACAGTCTTACTTTTGTGCTCGTCAGTATTTTTTATTCCTTTGCAACTCGATATTTGTAAAGCACACCAGTCTTCTTTAATTTCCATGTGAAAAAAAAATTACGAACAATTAAAGGTTTATAACATTTCGAGGTGGAGTCAGTTTGAAAGGATCATAGTTTTTGTTATTGTTCAACAAAAGAAAACGTATTTGAGGTTTTTGCAATTTTTGATGTAGTTATTAAAAAATTGTACCTGTCTGGAAGCAAACAATAGATTATGATGGGAACTTTCCACTAGTTTAATACCACTAAATTAGAGAAAACTTTTCTAAAAGTTTTTGCATTTCTATATACCTACCTAGGTACCGCAATTCAGAAGTTGTTAACTCGGATTTTAAAAGTTTTCAGAAAAAATTTTTCACCTTTGTTGGAACTAAAATGGCATTTTACGAAAAAAAAAGCATATTAAATTTGGAGGGTAAAACATTTAATGTAGTTAAAAGGAAATGGCTAAGACCTTTTGCATTAATTTAACAGTTACCATATTTTTATTGCTCTTTTATGATAGAATGTCCCAGGTACATATATATTTAATATTTTTTTATTCATTATGTTTATATAAAGTTTTAATTGCCGTTGCTGTTAAAAAATACGGCAAAGTATATGTATAGGTAGGTACTTACTACTTACAAAGTGACCAGATATATTTTTTCAAGTTTTAAGTCTCGTTTTAAGTAATCCTAAAACAAAATGCCACTTGTTTCGTAAACGTAGATGTTTAGATCACATAAGTACTTTTTCTATCTCATGCAACTATAAGTAATTTGGTTAGGCTCAAGTAGAGACAATTTAGGTACTAATTGTAAGAGATAAAATTCAGTCTATTAGTTTCTCGACACATTTTGCTATTATTTTCCTACGGTAAATTTTGCGATTTATAAAATCATACTTACATTTAATTAAAATTGTCGTGGATTTGTGAAGCATCAAACACTAATTAAAATTAATTGATATTTATGACAGGTAGAAATTATTTCTTAGTTTTTACTTTCGTGTAAAAACATGACAATTTATAACCCAGTTAGTTACTTGCAGACAATCTCTTCACGATTTTGTTGTACCTAGTAAGTGAGAAAGTCGGATATATGTATAGATACGTTATAGGTATGCCCTAATTTTTTTTGTTCAAAATTTAATATGCAATTAATTCTGGCTACACCTTGAGGTAAATCATAGAACATGTAGGTATTATAAATTATAGCGGTATCAGGTACCAATCCTTCCCAGTAATTATTAAAAAAAATTTATGTGCATACCAGTGGTAAAAACAGATTATCAAGTGAAAACAATATTTAGCGTTTTTCTAACCAAATAGTTTGTAGTGAAACTTATTGCACTCTACAATTTTTAATAAGTGGTTACCTGCTTCTTATATATTTCCCCTAAAGGCTAATTTCTAGCCACAATTACCTTAGATATATTTGTTCTAAAAGCATTTAAAATATAAGTATATTAAGTTTGGCAAATTAATTACGAAATTTAAATACTTTATTACACATATAATGTTATCCGAATCCTAATTAATTCAGATATCAACATCTTTTTCTTTCCTTTTATGCCATATGGCTTATTATTTGGAAGTCAATGTCTTACAGAAATTTTTAGTCACCTACTTTAGTATTGTAAATTACGAATTACGTATTATGTCATGGCCTTCTACTCTGAAAATAAATATTACTTCAAGTGAGTCATGATGGTTTTCAATTAGGTAAATCATATACAAATCTTGTGGGAACATCTGTATAAAGAATGATTCAGTTATTTACTTATAATGGCGGTGTTTTATACAGGGTTCCCTATATTAGACTATGCAGTTTAAAAGTCGAATAAAAACTTTCTGATCAAAGTAAATTAACTTTTTAATGGACTAATATGTAGCTAATTTTATGGGATTTATAACGAAAGTAAATAATAAGTCAANAAAATAATAATAAGTTTCTACGATGAATAGAAGCCGAGATATTGCAAAATTTACAGCGCGTACTTCCCCCACCACCACGCCGCCGGACAGTTTACTTAGCGAGTACCTTCTCTTTAAAGGGCTCGTGAGTCGTTAATTTTCCACATTTGTCAATGCAATTCACGAGAAATCGTAGTTTACGTCGTAAACTTTATTTTGCGAAAAATTCAAGTTTTAATATTTATAAACAATTGCGCTACGATTTTTTAAAAAAAAATTTGTATCTTGGCTCCTGTTGGTCGTAGAGGGTACTTTTTTTTATTTTAAAACTGTATTTTTTTGCCAGCTATCCATTGCATCTATTTTCGGTGAGATAGCATAAATAGCAACAATGTTATTCAATTTGTTTATAAGCGAAAAACGCACGGTTTTTTAATGCACAATTTGAGAATGTTAATGTCAAAAAAACGGAGGTTTTTTTTGTAATAGGTAGCTTAATTGCGTCTTTAAGATTACAATGACGCTTTCAGAATCATGTTTGATTGAAAATTAACGTTTGTACAGAGGCTTAAAGTTCATAACTTTTGGAGCCTCCGCTATAAACAAATAGAATTGTGCGAAAACTATTGCACCTACAGCGCCCACTTTTGGCACACTTTTAAAGTATGAGAAAACTCTCAACTTGTCATAGGTTTTATAAAATTTTAACAATAAATGGGATAGTTATAAACAAATTAAAAAATGGGCACTTTTCTTGTCTTTTTGCAATAACGTTTTTGTTTATTAACCGATTTTAATTTAACCAGTCTCATTTTGTAGATAATTTTACTCCCTATAAGCTGTCTACGAGTCACTTTTCGCTAAAAATTGATGGTTTTCCCTGCAAAGTGAAAAAACTGTTTTCCTTACTTATTTGTTTAAATAGAAAAGTTAGCTAATAAAAGTTTTTGACTCACGAGACGAGAGATGTCTTGTATTATGTTCCTTTAGACAATTTTACAATAATCTAGCGGATAGGACTTTTTTCGAGTAAAAATTTAATTTGCTTGGTCTAGCTACGTTCTGCCATTGAATGGGAAATAGTACTGTTTCTCACTCTGTCATCGATTCTACTAAGGCCTTCTTTAAAGCAGTACTTAAATCAACTGCTCCACCCTGTTCTGGTGGTGAGTTAGAAATAGATCTTATTTCTCTGGTTTTAGCTTGCAACCCTTGCAAGAGGTAGATTGTTCTTTCTCCTTGGACTAAGTAAGTGTATGGTAGGAGAAAAAAATGAAAATAAAAGTATAACATGGCATAAGTACACTTTTTATTAAAATTAGATATATTTGAGGATATGCCCATGGATTTTTACTACAAATTCATATTTTCGTAATTGTTTTTTTGACAGAATACAAATTGATGGAAGAAAATTTTAGGAGTGACTTGAAACACAGCTTGGAACATAAATTATATAAATTTGTGTACTGAGTGTTTATGTGTGGAAAACTTACCATTATTCAGTTGATTAAACTGAACACCTTCGAGATCACCCTATTATAACAAATCATGTAAATTTTGTTCAAATAAAACTTAATATTATATTCAAAAATATTTAAAAACTGTGATTGTTTGTTATTGTGATCCAAGGTATATCTTTTTAATAAATTTTGACAGTGTTTCCAAAATTGAATTTAGGCTTGATAAGCTTTTAAATAAGTGATATACCTAGATAGGCAGTTGCGTAATTGAAATATTTTAGGTTACAACTTGTTTGAGGTTAAAATTTCTCCACATAAAACATGTCAACTTGTTATAATTCGCTAAACCGTTTTGGATTCAGGAAAAAGGGCAATTTGTATAAAACTTCCATTACCAGTCTATTTATGGCTTATTAAAACTCTTAAAATATAAGCTTAACAAATTTCAGTATATTTTAATTATCGAAATTCGCGAAAAAAAAATACTTTCAGAGCCTCTATTTTGAAAACAATAGACCCATAACTCATTTCAAAACACCAATATTTTGGGTTTTACCACTGACTCATTTGAAGTTTATAAAAAAATTGATAAAATTTCTCTCACAAATTAATATCTTCAGATACATAACTACTTAAGTATCTGTTACATTGTATTTAGCATGTATCATACGAATGCAACTGCTTGTATGCATTTATACTGCTTGTGAACATATTTTTAAATTGACAGTTTTGCATAAATAAACGAAAAATATACAGTTTGTTTATTAATTACTTGTACAAACTTTTAAAAAGTGAATCTTTGACTAATTTTAAGATAAAAAGTTCATATGAATTCGCAACGGCTTAGTTCTTGAGATACAGTGCGTCCAAAAAAAATTTTTGTTTGGTATTTTGATTATATTTTTGTTTTTGCGAATTTTTATTTTTTTCTAATTTTCACTAGTTTGGTGGTAGTAGTTTGGTGATAGTAGTAGTAAAGTGTATCATAGCACATGACTCTTTTTCCCTTGTTTTTCAAAAACTCTTAATGATTCAACTTACAAAAGTCCAACACAGGTTTAACTTTAAACCGTTTTTTTACAAAAAGCTGCTTTCAGCGACAAATACTAAGAGTACCTTTTGTACGTAAAATTAAATTTAATGGAGAATTTAATTTTTTGTCAAAAATGACATAGGTACAGTGCGACACAAAGTTACGGTTATTTAATCCAGGTACAACACTGTATGTGGCGCTTTAACATTAAACAAAAAACTAAGTATATAGTATTTGAGTTTCTCATCATCAATACTCCCAGTTTCCCGAATTTCGCCAACTTGCCAT